CCCACGGCTGCAGCCAGCCCGGGGATTTTAAGGGTGCTTTTTCCATTTGAGAGGAAATAAGCGTTTCTGAGGCTTTTGGAATTCACCCACTCGTGTCTCCCTGTGGTCTCTGTGTAGGAGCATCATGTCTGCTCAGGAACAGCAACAGGCGCAGCCCCCCCTGCCCACCTCCTCGGAGGCTGCGGAACTGGACGCCGCAAACAGATACGAAGCGGTTGTTCCTCACTGGTTTTACTGCAAGGTCACGGACTCCAGGGAGCGATGGATCCCCTTCAGCACGCAGGATTCGGAGAGGCTGGAAGAGGCTCACGGCTCAGGTAGGGCGAAAACATGCTTGGGTAGGGGCTGCTTCATCAGGAACCACAGATAAAACTCTCATGTGCTTCCACGGGTTAGGGGATTTCACAGCACTGCTTGTCTTCAGCTCCTAACATTTCTATTTTTAAATTGCCCTTTGATTTTTAATACCTAGTCCCTGCTTTTAAAATCACTATAAGGAACTGGCCTGGTAAAGGTCAATGGGAGAGCATCAGGTGTGTGTGCTCAGGGGAAGCGCTGTCTGGGTATCAGAGGGAAATTGCCAGGATATATCCATGGCTTCCACCTGGGATGCAAAATTTTCCTTCGGGAATTTTAAATTGGGACTTTTTTTTGGCAATGTGCCTACTCCAAGAGCTGTAAATGCATGAATAACTAAGCTGTTTGGATGCATCGAATGGTCTGACCTCATTCATTTGATATATGCTCTAAATTATATATAATCAGACTGCAAAGCACCCTTTTGGTGTGGATGGGAGAGTGCTAACAGGATGGCAAAAATTCCGCTGGGGCGATTTCCCTTGTGCGGACGCATGGTGCTCTGCCCGTCTGCCTGCTCCTGGAGGGAGCGGGGTCTGCTCCGAGCAGCACCGCTTGCAATGAGGCCCTTGCACTGCTGAATATCACCCATCCGTGCTACCCACTGCCAGGACCGTGCTTAAAGCACCGCTGCTGCCGACGGCCACAGGCAGAGCACCGATTGCTCAAGGGTTGCTCCCGTCCTCCTTCTCCGAGGAAGCTTCGGAGAAGCCACAGCCAAGCTGAGCACAGCCTGGCACAGGGCGCTCTGCCAGCAGCCTGGCCGGTGGGCAGACCCAAAAGGCAGCAGAATTAACAGAATTTGAAGTCCGTACTGGGATCTGTGTGGAGTTCTCTGTTTTGGAGGGGAATGGCTTAGAGACCTGGAGACCCGCATCTCCACTGTTAAGCAACGCGCTTCCCAGGGCCGCAAATTCATGTTTTACCATCTAAGTAAGGCAGGAAGTGTTCATGTAAGCCTGTGCCTGAATGGGAGAGGAAGATGGTCATAGCTTAATGCCTTCATCTTACCTTCTGCCTCTGGGAGAAGTTTGACTTGGGGCATCTCTCCTAGAATGCACGCCAACGCTGTTCCCTGTGCTTGGGTATGGAGAACATTGGTGTCTACTGCCGTTGCTCATACGTGCTTGTGTGTGCTGCTCCGAGAAGATGCTCCAGTCTTGTCCCTCTGTTCTGGCATGGTACTCGGCTTTCTAGTAGCATATTCTTCTGGTCCTCTTGCAATTAATTTCAGGCCTTGGTTCCTGCAGGGAGAGACAAAGAAGATCTGGTTGTCCCAACATCGGGGGGTAGGTACGACGTGCATCTGAAGAAGAGGCAGCGCGTTGCAGTGTACTGGGAGGAGGAGGTATCTGAAGTGCGTCGCTGCACCTGGTTTTACAAAGGAGACAAGGACAATAAGTATATTCCCTACTCGGAGACCTTCAGCGAAGAACTGGAGGTAAACACGCCTTTCGTGGTAGCATCCATCTTGCCAAGAAGCATCTCAGCTTCTCATTGTCAAATACTGGCCCTGATGTCCCAAATTCCATGTGGGGCAACTGGCACGACAGTCACGCCTGAGGACATGAACTCAAAAGAGGCTTTGGCATGGTGTTTTCGCAGCTGATTAACATAACTGTAAATACTGCCACTGTCTCGCTCCCAGCCTGCTGTAGCTGGGCAGCCTCCCCTTCCTCCTGCCCTCATCCAACTGCGTTGGCATCCTTCTGCTACACGTTTAAGAGCCCGAGTGCTCTCGGCATGCCATGCGGCTCTGGCCTTGCTCGCAGCCTCGCTCTAGCAGCTTTGGTCTGTTTTTTTCCTGACCCTGTCTGCTCTAACTTCATTTTGACTCTGCTCATGAGAATCGTCCTCACTACGCTCATAGTTTCACCAAAGCCAAGGGAGCTGTGAGTGCAAGAAAGAGAAATCATCGTTATGGGGATGCACTGAACGCTATGTAGTGTTAGAGACTTCAGTGGTCTGTACTGTTAATGGCTGGAGACTTTTCTTTGGAAAGATACATATGTAGAGATACATAGATATATGTATAAAAATATACATCTTTACAATAATCTGTATTCTGATGTACCAAAAAATACAGTTCTAAATTAATGGGGAAGTCTGCTGCTGCTGCTATTAAAGTGGGAGCTTCTTGGAAACTCTCTAGCAGGTGATACTCAGGGGACTCTGTTGCTCCTCCAGCTAGACGTGGCTGATTTCTCTGCCTCTTTCGCAAAGCATGTTGATAAGAGATGCTGTAAAATGGGTGGGGAATGTCCCGAGTGGTTGAATATTCATGGGAATACTTTCAGCTGCCTCACAGAGGGTGTTCTTTTCCTTAGGAAGCTTACATGATTGCTGTGACCCTGGATGAGTGGAAGAAGAAACTAGAGTCCCCTAGCAGAGAAGTCATTATCTTGCACAACCCAAAGGTGAGGAAGGCCTGGTGATCTTTGTGTCGACCAACAAGGACACCCTTTCAGTTCTCTTAAGGGCTTGTCTTTATGCTCTGGCTTTATGCTGTTTCTTTCTTTGATTTTGAGAAATCGATTTTGTCCAAATGACATTCCCCTCGCATACCTGTGTCAGAGTAGAGGGCAATGCCAGCAGAGAGTCTGCTTCACACCTTAATGTTTCATTTCAACACACCTTTCACTCTCTTTGTGCAAAGGGCTCGTACCAGCACTGCTAAACAGCATGGTCTGGTACCACCCCCTATCACTTACCAGCTGTTGTAGCAACATTTCTCCTTTGCTTAACCAGCAGCACAGCTTAATGACAGGCTTTTCTTGTTTACAAGCTGATGGTGCACTACCATCCAGTTGCCACCTCCGATGACTGGGGCTCAACTCCTACGGAACAAGGTCGACCTCGGACTGTGAAGAGAGGAGTAGAAAACATCGCTGCCGAGATCCCCAATGGTGAGCTTGCTTCCCCCTCCCTTCCACCCATCCAAAGCTATTGAGTCTGTTTTCCAACCTGTTTACTCAAAAAGACTGACGGAAGCTTCCGTGATCCTTTAAATGAAGTGCATTTCTAAAAATTTCATGCAAAAAGGAACTGAATGGTTTTCAGAGACCTTCCTAGCACCAGGGAGCCTGCAGCGTAAATGAATGTGCAGAGGCAGCAGACACATGGCGAGAAGGGGGTGCAATTCCAGCTCCTGCGCTGAGACTGCTGCTGAAAGCACTGCAGTGCCTGAAATTACCCCTGAGGTCTTGGCGTGTATGTTTGTAAAGGAGGAGAGTTTCTTTCTGTGGTAGGGAAACAGGGATTTGTCACTTACTTACATGCCGGTGACTTTCTGGGACACATGCTCTCCCCATCTCTGAAGCTGTGTGTCAGCTCTGCACCCTCCAAGCTGTCCCGGTCAGGCGTCAGGACTTGTCCCTATGGTGAGGACAGGCAGTTACTCCTGTCTAACCCCTTCATTTTCCATGCCTGCATGCCTTCAGGAAAGTACATATGCAAACTAAAGTGTGTGGGCAGTAGAGAACAAGATGTAACTCAACCTGGAGCCTACCTGAGAGATGCAGCTATGCTGGGGCTGGGTGGCTCAGCAGAGCGGGCTGGGCACAGGGCAGCTGGACTGAGTCCTCCTGGTCCTGCCCTCTCCTGTGCTGAATGTGCCCCATGGCTGGGTGGGTATGAACTGCGAGGACCGTCCACTGCCACTGAAGTGAGGATGGTGACAGAAGGGGGAACGAGCCGCCTCGCCTTCCTCTACTGTTGATCCAGATCCATCCCAGGGCGGGCAGCTGAATTTAGCAGGACAAACAGTTCAGAAATGTGACAAATCCCACTACCCTTTAGGAATAAAATCCAGGCACTAACTCAAGGTTTTTTTTAACCTGGGCTGAGGTGAGGATGGGAGACTCCACTCTCCTGCAGAGCATGTGGTTTCAGCGGGTCAGTTCCCAATTAAGTGATGTGTCCCACAGGGCCTGTGCTCTGAACTCTTCGTTTCTCCTTAGGAGAGCCGCTGCAAATTGATCACTTGGTTTTCGTGGTGCACGGGATCGGCCCAGCGTGCGATATTCGGTTCAGGAGCATCGTCCAGTGCGGTAGGTGCGGAGCCCAGCCGGGGTGCTCTTCCCATACATTGCTTTTAGCAGAGCCAGTAAAACTCTCATCTGCGTGGACAATGTGAAACGCTGTCATTCAAACCATCCCAATGCTCACGTTGGCAAGCTGCACGGTCAAATTTGCTGACTGCAACGGGGAGTGTGAATGCAATGCTCGCTAACCCATTAAATCCTACCATCTGGAAAGGTTTGAGCCACCACTTTTCATTACTGTGTTCTGCTGCTGCTCAAATTAGTGAGTTTCCCAAACTGGATACAGATTTTCCAAGTAATGGTCTAAACCTGCTAAACTAATTAGTAACCTGCTCAGTCTATTGCTACGGGTTAATCTCACTGGGTGAAGTCTAACAGGCAACACCCCATCCAGCAGCCTCTGGAGTGATTTTGGACCAAAAACAGGGACACTGCTTCTGGCTCAGGAAATCCTTAAGCTGCAAATGCCTGGAGGTTAGGAGCGCGTGCAAAGAAGTATTGCTGGTCTTACACACTCTTCTCAGCACCCACTGTTGTTCAGTACTGGAGACAGGGTACTAAACCAAGTAACTCTGGTCTGACCTGTTCATTATTACTTGCTCAGAGTGCTTCAGCTCTGTAGGAGAGGTGATCATTGAAAGTGCCTGCAAGCTAAACATGATCTACTTGTAGAAATCAAGGGAGCCAAGATTTTTCATAGCAGACTGTCTATAAAATATACCTCTGCTTTAATGCAGTCCATTCTTCTATAGTTCATCTGATGAAACGATTTTCAAGGCTGCTGACCATTTGAAGTGAAGGAAATCAACCTTTCTCCCTCAGAACTGACTAATTTCAAGTTCATCCCCTCCCTTGGGATTCCCTTTCTAACAGATGCATCTTTGGAACAGATTTGGTTTTTTTAAATTCCTAAAAGTACCTTTCTTATCCTGACTGCTGTGTTAAAGCCCTGCCCAAATGGAAAGTAGGCTTGTTACGGATGGGAGAGCGAAATGCAGTAAACACACACGTAAGGAGATGGAGCCTTCCCCTGATCTTGTAGTTAAAGATTCAAGGTCTTAGGGTAGCAGCAGCAGATTAAAGACCCTGGTGGGATTTCCCCCGGTAATGATCTTTTCTTTTATCTTATTAAGTGTTGTTGATGCAGCAGGCTTGCCCTGTAGCCCAGTGGATCTTGGTAAGAGTTCATGCTTTTTTCTAGTGAATGACTTCAGGAATGTTTCCCTGAGCATGCTGCAAGCACACTTCAAGAAAGCCCAGGAACAGCAGCAGATCGGCCGAGTGGAGTTCCTACCTGTGAACTGGCACAGCTCCCTCCACTCCACTGGGGTGGACGTGTAAGTGTCCCAGACAGCCATTTCCTCCAGTGCCGGTGTCCACGGGAATGGCAAAGTGCACAGACAGCCTCCTCCCACGTAAACTCTGCTTCTTCTGGTGGCCACTGCAGGCAAAGGGAAAGCTGTCAGTGTTTAGGGCTGTGAGCATGCAGGGGTAAGCAGGACAGATGGGGTCCCGTAGAGCACCTCCATGCCAGACCCCCTCCCCACCATCTTTTTGCAGCCCTGTTTTGCAGAGCACAGCAGGTGCCTGCTCTGATCAGGATCCAACCATTCCCTGGCCGATATCAGGAAGGATCGTGGACACCCACACCTTGCTAAAGGCCTCTCGAAACCGTGTACCCTGTTTCTGCACTCAAGCACTGCTCTGCAGTGCCCTAGGAAGGGGAGAGAGCAGGTTAGGCTCCTGGGAAAGAAAGGCCAGGCTCCTTACACCTGCCTGGAGTGTAAGAGCACAGGCCATGCTCTGCCTTCGGTCTTGGCACGAGCGGAGGGTGTGGATTACAACAGATGTCCTTTGGGACGGTGGTGATCCTTCTCTGAACTTGTATTTTGCTTTAGAAACGTGGTGAGGTTCACTGGTACCCCTAACTGCAATTCCCTCTCTCCTCTTTTCCCCCCTATAGTGACCTGGAGCGAATCACTTTGCCGAGCATCAACCGTCTGCGTCACTTCATCAACGACACCATCCTGGACGTTTTCTTTTACAACAGCTCCACCTATTGCCAGACCATCGTGGACACGGTGGCATCCGAAATGAACCGCCTGTACCAGCTCTTCTTGCGGAGGAACCCCCTCTTCAAAGGGGGGGTCTCCATTGCAGGGCACAGCTTGGGTAAGGAGTTTCACTCGTGAGTCCCGTGAATGTCACCGTACCATGGGAGTGTGGAGGGTACTGGGCTTTTGTCCCAGAAAGGAGATGGCTCGGGGCTTTTCCCCATCGAGATGCTGATGCTCTGTCTGCCTGCTCCTGGTTTCTAGGGTCACTCATTTTATTTGATCTCCTGACGAACCAGAAGCCTGCTCCCGAAGAGAATGAGCACAGCAAAGAGGTACGTGCTCTCCGGCGATGCACAGACCCGTGGGGTACTCCTGCAGCACTTGCATGGGTAGCTGTGCCGGTGCAGCGTCACACCGACCTCCTCCTTCTATGGCTGGTTGGGGGAGGAAAAATGCACAGGAGAAAATAAGTGAGCAAAAAGCATGATCCCTGATGGCTCTATTCACAGGAGTCCAGGACAACCTCAAGCAACAGGAGTATTGAGGAAGTAAAAGAAATCCTGAAGAAGCTGGAGCTGTCTGAATATTGTGATGTTTTTGAGAAGGAGAAAATGGACAGGCAGGCACTGGTAAGGAGCTCTCCTGTTTTGCTGTCTCTTGTGTTTCTTTGCTTTTCTTCCTAGTCCTCCCCCCCGTTGCACATTTTCCTGGTACTGAGTCACTCACACATGAAAAATCTCTGAGGAGCGCAGCAGGAAGAGGATTAACAGAGAACAGAAATACCTCACTGCACACACCTCTCTGCTCCTGTACTAATATCTGGGTTGCTTATTTTCCAGTTCTTGTGTACAGAGAAAAACCTTAAAGAAATGGGAATTCCCTTAGGACCAAGAATGAAGATACTTCATTACATCAGCTCCAAGACAGAGATGCAGGTTTGTCTTCTGCACACCTTGTGTGCATCCAGGTCACATCCCATCGCTCTCAGACAAGGACCAGCCTTCACCACTTCTGATCAGCCTGGAACCCAGGATGTGAGGCCTCAGTCCCTGAGCACCCCGACCTCCTCGTTCCTGGCCACCCTTGCTCAGGCAGCTCTCATGGGCTCACGTTTGGCTGTGGTGACAGAGCTGCTCGCTGCTCCTGCGTGTTACGCTGATGTTGCCCTACTACAGGATCACTTTATCCCGTGGCCTGTAAGGGTGATCACAGAGCAGGAGGACTTGTTAAGGGTGGTAGAGACTGAAGTTAGCGATTCCAGTTAGAGAAGTGGTTGGCTGGAGCAGGATGATGGTGCCAGGACTGCCCTGGTTCTGGATGATACAGGATGCTGGGCAGTTCGCTGCCTCGTGTACTTGCTCGCGGGTGGGTAGGACAGGCCGTGGCGTGGGCTTGCTGCAGGAGCTGTGCTAATGGGGTTTCCTGGTTGTGTTGCTGCAGGACCAGAGCGCAGCAGCTGCCGGGCACAGCGGGGAACACGGAGCGGAGCCTGGGTCCCCACTGCAGCATGACCCAGACAGCACAGATGATGGCAAGAATTGCCAATACCGGGATGTTGGCTTAGGACAGGTAACTGCCGAGCTCGGCACCATGCTCTAATTGCAACAATGAGGTGCGCATAACACCAGCATGGAGTTTGTCTCATGAAACAAAACCGAATCTCCCTCTCTCCTAGGTCTCGGCAAACTATCCTCAGCTAAACTATAAGCCCACCATCTTCTTTGCTTTTGGGTCTCCCATTGGGATGTTTCTCACAGTGCGAGGAGTGAAGCGGATCAACCCAAACTACAGCCTACCCACTTGCAAAGGCTTCTTCAACATCTTCCACCCCGTAGGTATAAGAACCAGAGCCTTCCTGCGTGAGATGCGTGGAGCACGAGCTCTGGCTCACTGTCCCCCTCCTCTGTACAGTTTGACCCGGTGGCATACAGGATTGAGCCCATGATCGTCCCGGATCTGGAGTTTGAGCCCATGCTGCTGCCTCACCATAAGGGCAGGAAGAGAATGCACCTAGGTAAGGTAACGGGCAGCCCCTCTCCTCCTGCCCTGAGCAGATCCTGCAGCCCCCAGCCCAACGCCGAGCCCTCCTGCCTTTCAGAGCTGAAAGAAGGGCTGACTCGCATGAGCGTCGACCTGAAGAACAACTTGCTGGGGTCCTTGCGGGTAGCCTGGCAGTCCTTCACTCGAGCCCCACTGCCAGCTGTGGAAGCGGCGAGTACCGATGCCGAAGCAGAGGCAGAGGCCGGCGTGGAGAAGCAGCCAGGTCAGTGGTGTGCGTGGGGTGATGGGGAGCTGGGGATGTGGCATCGCAACCTGCCCAGAGAGCAGCATGCTTGGGCTCCCTGCAGGCACGCCGGCAAGGTGCCCATCCTGGCATCAAACCCAGGTGCTGCTGCCTTCCTCTGCGCTCAGCAAAGGAATGGCCTTTGAGCTGCAGATGCCCTTGACTCTCCAAATGCTGTGGCCTTCCCCTGTTATTGCCTGATGAGGGGGGAAGAAGAGGCAACCTGCCTGGTCAGTAATGGCCTCCTGGGGGGTCTCAGCACACCAGAGCAGTTTGTAAGACTGCCAAAACCTGTCACCCTTCTGTAGCTGTCTCTTGCAATACTGTTTTCCAAGAGAGAGCCCTGAGCAGGGGAAGGACTGAGCACATAAGCTGCCTCTCCTCTGCAAGAGCCCACCGTGGGGCAAAGGGAGGGCACGGTGATGCTGTTGTATTTCCATGGCTGCTGGTGCCCTGGGGCTGAAGCACATTGCTCTTCTTCATTCCTTCAGACACAAAGCCAGACGAGACCCCTGCAGCAGTGAAGGAAGAGGCCTCCCTCATTAACGTGGGGAGGCTGAACGGAGGCAATCGCATAGACTACGTGCTGCAGGAGAAGCCAATAGAGAGCTTTAATGAGTATTTATTTGCACTACAAGGGCATCTCTGCTATTGGTAAGGTTCTGCATAATGGTTGAAGCTTCAAATTCATGTCTGATGTAAGCAGAATGCCATGATTTTTAAAGCCAATATAATAAGAAAAGCCTTAACTGAGTAAACAAGATACACTCCTGCCTATAATGCAGATGGTGGGCAGGGACAGAGGAAGGAGACTGGTGTAGTTCTCCTTGCCCACTACTGCCTGCATTTGTTGAGTGCTGCATCTACTCCATAACCATCACAGATGTCCTGACAGAGAGGAGGGAAGCATTTCCCTCTAATTCCCATGTCCTCCTCCAGGGAGTCGGAAGACACCGTTCTGCTGGTTCTGAAGGAGATCTACCAGACACAAGGCATTACACTGGATCAACCTTTGCCAGGAAGCCAGTGACCAACCTGTGCCGTTCTGGCAGCTTGTTGTAAGTCGCTTTGCCTACGTCTTCCTTCCAAATTTCCTAGGACACCTCAGAGCACATCGGGTCCGTTTGAGGGAATAATACTCCTTATTTAAAGCACTTTGCCTAAGGCAGGAGTTTGTGTCGGGTTTTTTCTTTGGCCTGTCAGCATGTTTGGGTTCTTTCCTCTTATCCTGCACATAAGCACTATCAGACACAAGGAGAGCTAATAAACTGCTGCTGCTGAACACAGAGGCAGCAGCAACTGCGCATGGTTAGGTTCAGTTCAATCCACCAAGGGAATGACCAGATATGTGCCCCATACCCCAAGCCTCCTGGGCTAAATGTTTCTTAGAGAGGTAGCGGACCAGAGTGTGGATCCTGCAGTTCTTGCAGGGGTGCTTTCACCCTCTGCTGCTAATTGCTGGCCAAGGGTAGACCAGGGGTGAGGCGCATCCTTGTGTTTTCTTGCCCTCAAAGCTTAACACTGGTAATTGCTGGGTACAGGAGGCTGGGCTGGATGGATTTTGGTCTGCCCTAGTGCAGCTATTCCTATGTTCTCTTTTTGCTTTCTTAGATCCAATTCAACTGAGTACTCACCAGAAAAGTCCACACTTCTTCTCTGCCTTCCTCTCTCCTCTGCTGCTGTGTTCCGCATGCTGCTTCCCAAGTACTTGCTGCTACCTGGAGATAAGGATGATTTTCCTCCATTGCGGGTAGGGGCGGGGGGCAAAAATATCAAGGGAAAACACTTCTGCTCAAACACACACAGCACTTGCACTGTGACTCCCTGTGGCAACGTGTACTTTTAACCCTCCACCTTGTAAGTTATGACACTAGCTCCTCTAGCACCGAAGCAGACTAGCTGTTTGAGCTAGGAACTGACATCAAGGGCCTGACTCTGCTCCTGGCTTAGCGAGGAAGCTCGCAGCTTGTGACCTTGAGGAATAAAAGCCTTAAACACGCAGCGTGTGGAGAGAGCTACAGCAGCCTTGTCGAGCAAAGGAGATCGCTGACTTCTCTCTGCTGTAACACAGAACACTAGGCACAAGGACTGCATTCTTTGGGAGGTGAAGCCCAGAGCACAAGCATCTGCTATTAAGCAAGCAGGAACGTGTCTACCAGCCATTCTCATCTCTTTGAATTGCTGCTGCATGGTTTGTGCACCCATGGGTTGATGCCGGGCAGGACTGCCCCATAAAACAACTCGTGACAGCGGCATGTTTGTGTGCACTTGACCCAGGTGCTCCTGCCTGCTGTGCTATGTTGGTAATGACTTCTCAGCATCCTCACCCAGCCCACGGTGGCCAACAAACCAAGGGTCTCCCTGAGGCACTGCCAGCATTTTGTGTAGGACCAAGGTAGTGGCCAGGTGTAACTATACGAGAGGAAAGCTTCACCTCCAGATCAAACTACAGCTAGACCAGGGGAAAGCAGCTGCTCCTCGGCAGCATCCAGGCAATTTGGAGGCCTGGAGGGACAGCCCGCCTGTGCTTTGTAGGGGCATGGAGCAACAATACCCTCCTGCTGCAGTGTGGCTTTCAGGGTGGCTGCAGAGATCTCATGCCACAGCCAGGCTCCAGTCATTGTTTTTGGTTTTAAATACACAAAATGCAGCCAGCGAAGTCGGAGCCCAAATCTGTAGGGTCTGGACACTGTGTCCCAATGACCCCACTGAAGAAATGACACCAGCTCTGCAGGCAGTTCTGTCTGCAGCTACCTGTGGCATGCTAGCTCTGCTCCAAGAGGGATGGGGCCAGAGAGCCTCCGGTGATCCCTCCCTTGCAACCAAAACCACCCAGGCTGACTCACTGGCTGGGCTGAGGCTGGAGCCTCCGGGCAAGGCAGAGGCAGACGCTTCAGTAATATGTAAGGTTGTTGTTGCAACAGCCTCTGGAAGAGCCAAACCACTTTTCTTCCTGCTGGCTTTTGCCCTGCATGGGGTAAGGAGCCTTTTTTCCACAGCCTGTTTGTTTGTCCTCGTTGTACTACATTATTTGCACTATTTGAAAGGTTTTGTTTGCAGCCTACATCCCTCCTCCCATCCCAAAGGAAGAGAAGCTGTTCTTTTACCTGACTGCAGAAACAGACATGCTGCTCAGTCGGCGCCTGAACTACTGATTGCTAAAGCATCTCCTACAAGAGTAGGAAAAGGAACAGTCTTAACATGGGACACTCTAATGATCAGCTTTTTAAGTTAATGCACTTTGTTAAAAAAAAGTTAAATACATTTTAAATGTTATTTAATGTCTTTTCCAGTAAAAGCCAAAATAAATAAGTAGATGACTGTGGTGTGTGCATTTCTGGGGGGAGAAGGAGGGGAGGGGATTGAAGAATTCCCATGTGCACAATGTTACGGGAAAGTAAAGCTGTTTCTGTGACTTCTGTTGAAGTTGCAGGGTCATAGAGGGCTTACGTGGCCCAAACTGAAGATGATGGGGTGGTGTTTTCACTACTGTCATGTCCTGAGCTTGACAAAGGCACACATCCCTCGCTCTGCTACAGCCTCACCTTTACTGTTTGCATGTACATACACTCAATCAAAAATAAACATATCTATGGAGGAGACTAGTGACAAATAACTACTTACAACAGTCCTGCCATACAGCTGTGCCTTGGATTTCTCAGCAACACTCTACCTTTCCATTGTCTGAAAAAACAAACCATGGTGTAGGAATGAAGGGTTGCTTTCAGACACCATTTCATTCTCTGCTGATTGTCATCTCTTTACAACCATATTAAAGCTGCAAGGAAAGAGAGACAAAATAAACACCCACCTAGAAACCCCCACCAAAGGAAACGGCTTATACAGCAGTAAATGCAGTTCTTGAAGTGAAGTTTTTAATACCACAGCTCATTAAAAAAATTAAACTTTATTTGGCAAATTAGAAAAAATCAGGGCTAGCACAATAATACAAATAATGATCATGATAGTTTCATTTTCCCTCTCCCCCACTTAATCCATGGTTAGAGACTGCAACCTCTTGCTCATTACTCCAAATTAGCTCAGCTGCGACTGAAAAGGAGCAGGTCCTGCACTTCATGTCGACATATGCTTCCCATGAGAAGGGATGGGACAGCCCGGCTGGACTGAAGGGAGACAACTGACAGTGCTTTCTGGACCGGACGCAAGAACACCCACCAGACAGGACACACCAGATTGTCACATTTTTCCAGTTCTTGCTTCAGGACCTTTTGCACCCAGGCTGTCCTCCTGCAGCCTTGCACGCCGAGTGCCTCACTTGCTTGACAGCAGGCCCAAAGGGAGGGAGGCCTACAAAATTTGGTTAAACGAAGCAACACAGGCCCCTGAGCAGCACAACTTACCAGCACTGCAGAGAACGCCTGCTTGGGTTTCAGGTTCATCCTCATTTGAGCCACTTCTCACGACCAGCCTACCCAAAGCCTTCCCCTGCATTCAAGGACCAGCAGGAAAGGCGCTGGCCAGACAGAGCCTGTCATTATATATCTAGGTGAAAGCTGGAAGCTGCAGGCTTTTCTTGGTGCACTGGCAGTTGTTTGGATTTGTACAGAAATGGTTTGTGGCACATGGAATCCATCAGAGGAGGGTAATACTGCCTGTAGCAGAGGTACGCCAGCACAAAGCCGATCGCTGAGCCAACCAACACATCTGTGGGCAAGACCAAAGGCGAGTTAATTCCCTTTACCCTCCCAAGCTTCATGATTGAATTCTCCAGCAGGCAGCTTTTCAGCCTGCTCAGAGCTGAGCTGGATCAGCGACTTGATCCTTGGCTATAAAACTAAGCTTAACATATATTTCAAAAACAAAGAGAAAGGCATCATCACCTCGCAGGCTGCAAAAAATTACCACCAGAGAGTAATCAAAAAAACCAAGCTGCCATTGTGGGCTCTGAACACCTCTGTGGAGCAGAGGTTCCCCTGCTCAGGGCACCCGGTTGTGCTCTCCCGTCCAGGTCTGCAAGCAGACACCAACCCACCTTGCCAGTGGTGTTTGTAGTCGCAGGTGCGGGACACGGCGATGAGGGTGGCGAGGAACAGGGGGAGGAGGAAGGCACAGAGCCGCAGAGCCCTGCCTCCCCGTCCAGGAGCGAAGCAGTGCAGCTTCCCGGCTATGTAGAAGGCAGAGAAGGCGAGACCAGCGAAGGCAACTGAAAGAGAAGCATGTCGCTTCAGAAAAGGCTCTGGGCTCTGCCATGGGCCCTCAGCCAGACCTTCACCCCCTACCCTGCTGCAGTGGAAGGACTGCAAGAGGACATCTGTCCCGCCCATGCAAGCCAAGGGAAACACCGGTTTATGAGTGATGGAGGAGCCTCAGAAGCTAGTACTTGGCAAGCATCCCTCCTCTCAGGAGATACCGACAGCTTCAGATTACGTTTTTAACCTCATTGCTTTCCAGAGGGAAAGTTGAGGCCCCCCAAACAGGCCAATGGATGTAGCCAAGGCCTCGGGGTGCATGAAAGAAAATCCAAGCTGCTCTTCCCACAGTCTTCCGCTCACCATGGTTCACTGTCTGGGGCTGCAGCAGGTAGGGGACATGGAAAACTTACATGAAGCGTGTCCGCTGGGGAAGCTTTTGCGTCCCTCAGTCACTACGCCAGGGTCGCCTGTGCACACCAGCTCCGCGTTTGCTCGTCCATCCGGGAAGCATCGATAGAAGAAGTCTGGCCGTGGCCTAGGGCAGAGAAGCAAAGCACATAGCCCTTGGGTATGCTGCACTCCCAGGATGGGGCTCAGTTGCCAGCCACCTCGCACAGCTCCCTCCACCGCGCAAAAGGAAGGTGGTGCGACCCAGGCTGTGAGAAATACAAAACTCTGCATCGCACCCAGCTCTGCTCCTGCTTGGCCAGGCAGGGCTCAGTAGAGAAGAGCCAGGCTGCAGCAGCACACTCTCACCAGCTCACCGCTGCTCAGGCAAGACCCCGTTTAGACCCTCAGGATTAGCACTACGCTGCCCCTCCCCATCCAGCCCAGCAGAGCAAATGCCTCAGAAGAACTGAACTCCCATGTGGCCTCAACATGCCCCAGTTGCACAGCCTGCGAGCACACCAGAGTGAACCTCTCAGGCGGCGGATGGGCATAGGTAACTTTTTGCCACCCTGACCACATGGCTCAGGGAGATGAAACCATCCCATCTGCTCCCTCTATGCATACCAAAGCGCTTCTCCGTGGTGCAGGCCTGAATGAGGCCCATCTAAACGATGCCTGGAGACAGCAGGTCCCCTCCAGTGTTTGTTCTAATACTTAATTGTCTTTACAGCTAGAAAAAGCATATTCTTTCCAGGCTGAGTATGTCCAACTTCAGCTTCTGGCCCTTGCTCCTACTATTGTAGCTCTACCACTGCGCAGACGCGTGTCCCCTCCCCAGGTGGCACAGCTAAGAATAAGCCAGTTTCTCACCTCCCCACAATGAGCTTCAGGGCATTTGTAAAAACCCCGTTCAGGGCGAGAGCAAGGCTGGCAGCTAGGAGAGAGTAGAGAGGTCACGTCAGCATCCCCACCTGAATGTGCAGCTTCGAGGCATGAGCAGCACTCAAACTTCAGCTGGAGCCATGCAGCTCAGCTTTGATACCCCTGGTACAACTCTTGTGCCCGAGCAAGAGGAAAGGACTCATCCGTGAGACCCCTGGCTCAGAGCCACAGCATCAGGCAGACCCCTTGGGGAGGGCTGCAGCTTGCTGGGATTAAGAAGGAGCTCACCAAGGCAGGCTTCCCGTGTGTCTTCTCGCTCGTCATTCATGAAGACCCTTGCCAGGACAATGAGCAATAAGGGAGACAGAAATGCGATGAACTGCCACAAAATGAGAAGATTGTTAGGTGTCTGTTAGCAAAGCAGATTTAAGCACTCTCACCAGAAGACAACAGCAATTGCTCAAGAAGACTATACATGCACTTTCCCTCCCCAAAGCCAAGCAGCAACCTGTCCTCTCCAAAAACTACACTTCTATCAGAAAGCAAAACTGCAGTATTTGCAGCAAACCCCGACTAACCCTGTGCTCCTCAGAGCCTGGCTATTCCTCCCGTTTGTCATCCAATGGCAGCGCCTCACGTACAAAAGCCCACGGGCTGCTGGACATTGCCTGTACCAAAGCATAAGAAAAAAAACCCAGGCAGCATAAATAATGCAATACACTAAAAAGCCCCTTTCGGCATCCCGCTCTTTCCCGTGCTTTACCCACTCAGCGCACACACTCAGCAGAGCCTTTCCTCCGCTGAAAAAAGCCCAGTACGTCCTCAAGCTCTCAAATAGCATCTCTGGCACAAGAGGGCTGTTGTGGCTGACTTCATGTCACTCCTGCCTGCAGCTCCCTCCTCTCCTACTTGCGGGTATCCCTTTGCAGTATCAGCCACAGCGCCTCAACTCTCCCATCCCTGCAAGCACAAGGATTAGCTCGTCGTCAGCAGCACCCATGCTGCTTGTCAGCAAAAAATACAGGAGCTGCTGATTCAGAGAAAACCAGTTATCATTCACAACATCTCAGCTGTGACTGCCGCTGTGGGATTTCACTCCAGGGACATCCACGATGTGTTCGACAGGCTCCCAAGGAGGCTGCTAGCACCTGAAGTCTGGCATACATCATGTTTTACACCAACAAATCCGAACGTTACACCAAAGTTTTGTCCTTTAACGTTTAGTACCCACCTCTTACAGAAAATCCAAAGTTCTATTTGCTAAAAAAGTGGGTGCTTGCCCAACCCAGGAGCCACAGCATCGCACAGAAACACCTCCGCTTCAGAGAAAGAGACAACCCCTTTAATGAACTAATGTCTACTTGAAATCCAACACCTACAGTTTTATATTAAAGGTTTTTAACAGAGGCCTAAGGACCTAGAGAAAACATTTTCCCAATGAAATTATAATAAAACTTTGCTCAAAATAGCTGCTTTCAAGCAAAATGTTCCCTGATAGCGAGAGATAAGCTATCCACTGTGATCCTAGCAATCTGGACCTGAAACTGATTATGAACAACAGTGAAAAGTCCCCACTAGTTTTTAGAAACTTAGTTAAAATCCCAAAGACAACCTTGGATGGCAAAGCCTAAAAAGATGACAAAAATGACTGTAAATGTTGTTTAGTTTGCAATAATATATTGCACTTTCAGTAACACGAATGAAGAACTACAGGTATTTGCAGTACAAGTCTTTTAGCTAGTAGCTTTGCTTTAAAAGGATAGTTTAGAGAAAAAACTAAGGAAATGCAGGAAATCACTGAACTTACAAACATGGGTACAGTGGGTACGTGATCGACTTCTATGTACGGGTTTTTATAAAGCCACATCTCTTCAGGCTGTACCACACGCTGAAACGGAGGCAAAAACTCCATGACCCTGGAGAAGAAAAAGAAAAGAAAAATTAAATAAAGATCAGATTTGGAGTAGGCTGCACTCACAACCTGCAATTCAGAGAGCGCGGGAGCTCTGCCTCCTCTCATCGCACGGGCAGGGACGAGGGCCCGGGGCCAAGGGAGGGCTGAGACACCCGGGGGTGCTGGCCTGCGCCCCCCCGGCCCGACCAGCCCCGGGAAGGCCATGTTAGCACCCCCGCGGGGTGCGGGAGG